ACGTTACAAGCCTTGAAATCGATTGGGAGATGCCCTTTGGTGTTTGCTGAAGCACCTTGCATTGTTATTTTATTTTTAATTTTTTAGCAACAACAATCCATTGATAGTTCGGAATTTCATACAAACGCATTTTGAGATATTTGAGTTATTAAGTAGTAATCTCTAATGGTAGTACTTTATTACAAGATTCATGCTTTTTTTGCTGAATGATTCGTAACAAAAGATGACTTTGTGTGTTATTGAGGCCTCAATTAGTGTTTGATGGATGTCACAATTACAAAGTTAGCTTATCCTTAGAACTTACCGAGTTGTGTCATTTTGAAGAAAAAAAGAAATCTGCAAGTTGCCATGTTAGCAAAGGTAAGCAATGAATGAACAGTTAATTCTTGTATAGTTCGACCGGAGAGCTGCATGAGCAACAAGGTGTTACCCTCAAAGCAGTATCGGGTTAGGAAATTGTGCTTCGTTATCAACCCCATAAATGTCTTTCTTAAAATACACTGATTGGTCCTCGCTGTCAGTTTAACCAATTACAATTTTAAAAAACTGAATTCATGCCAATAAGTTCCTCTCTCAATTTCAAGTTCAATATTGAGAGAAAAGTTGTTTCTTAGTTTGAAATATTTGTTGCTTGCTAAAGAGTGATGTAAGATGTAGAAGGTGCATAGTAGAAAAAAAACTGTTCGACTTGGTCCTCCATACCAGGTTCTCAACTATTATATAAGTGATTACCTCACAATCGTTGCACCAATGGGATCTGCATACTTCCACCATCTGTGGCCCACATAAGCACCAGCCAGGGCGACAACATTCGTAATGCAATCATTTCGTTGATCGATTGCTAGCACGCGACTGGTGGAAGTGTTTCTCGAACGCAAGATAATGAATAACACTAAAAGGAGGATTTTTTGATATGTTCATGTGATTAACGGCAGCCAGAGAGGTTCTTAGTTGCTTAGAACAATCTGGCTAATCCCTGGCGTACATTGCCTTACCTGCCTTGATCGATGTTCCTGTGCATAAAATAACGAGTGTTGGAATGCCGACTTTTGGATGAAGCTAAATCTTCATAGTTTTGAAGTTTCAGAAGTAGTAGTCAAAAGCTTTTTGCTTTACATTGCCAGTTATGCTGTCTGAAGCAGCTTCCTCCAGAACAAGCAGATTAGCAAATACCATTATGAGGCCGACAATAAGGGTAGCAAGCGGTTCAAGCCTGATGAGAATTGGATAAGAGGTTTACTTCTGCTCCTTCAAATCGTA